CACCTCAGCTAATCAAGCTTACCCAATACAAAAATAGCTATAATTTGTTAGTTTTTACAGATATTGGGCTACAATTTGGTATAGAAGTAGCTGTGAGTGTCTTATTGCTAATAAACTAAGCTAGATATGCAGGAGATTTCATACATTTGACTAAAACAACCTTAAATGATCTGTTTTTTAACATAAATTGCACATGAAATGTGGCAGGTGATTTTGAGGACAGCTGGGCTTTTAATTTATAAATAATAAATAAAAAAAACGTTTATTTGCAAGTAGCCAAATTTAATAAAAGTATATTTTAGGAAGAGTAAAGTGAAGTTTGTGTTACTTGTGACATGATTGTGATGTTTGSTGTCACCTTGTTGGAGTAGGGCTGCTTGGCCAGGTTAATCCCGTCTCGGATGAGTTTATCCCGGATGATAATCTTCAGTTTGAGTTTGGGGAACAGGACCAGCTCCCTCCTGTTGCCCAGCGTCAGGTTCCGCTGCGCGCCCACGTAGCCSCCGTTCCGCCCGACGCGCTCGCCGGTGGGCTCGGTCCAGGACTTGGAGCCCCGCAGCTTGGACTCGAACTCCACCACGTGACCCGCGCAGGGCTCGGCCGCGGCCGGCACCGGCTCCAGGGTGAAGTACAGCCCGCTGGCCGTCTCTTTGGCCTCCTCCCGCAGCCGCCTGACCGCGTCGTGGACCCTCTGGCGGTGCTGCGGGATGTAGACGCCGATGGCGTCCAGGTCGGGGTCTCCGATTTGTTTACAGACCTCCAGGTCGTCGTATCCATTATCCACGAAAGACTCGACGTACTGGGAGAGCTGGAGGGTCTTCAGCCACTCGTAGACGATGACAGGTCCGTTGCTTGTCATGGTTTTTTATTTATAGGTGCCAAAATCGGCTCCAAGTCAGGAGTTTAAAAATCAAAACTCAAAGCTGAACTACTTTCCCGTTTTCATCCTCAGATTGTCACATCTGGATTAAACAATTTCTGGTTAATCCACGTGAAAAGCTCGGCCACCATGGCCCGGGTTTCTTTAGAAATCCTCAGAAATCCAGGTGAAAACTTTCTCCGGACGCGGTCCAGGTGAACAAACACAAGGCGAGATGTCGAAACGAAGCAGGTTTTCTGCTGCGTAAAAATGTCAGATGTCCTTCAAAAGAGCGGCTTTACCGGTCTCTTTAGCTCCTCTGGACAAAACAAACAAACAAAAATAAAAAAATAATAATACATCCAAATAAGGCCAGCTGCTTTAAAACGCWCCAGAAACCCGCGGCTGCTCCCGTTCATCCAGCCGGCTCATCACTTCCCTGTGGAAGAGCAGCCAAGAACCAACACGCTGCTCCGCCGACCACGCCCCCCTAATGTCACATTTAAAAATACTGAAACCAGTCTCTCTCTCTCTCTCTCTCTCTCTCTCTCTCTCTCTCTCTCTCTCTCTCTCTCTCTCTCTCTCTCTCT